TTTTCTTTGTTTTTTTTTTGGCTGATTTTTGGGATTTTTGTTTATCTCTAGTCTCTACTCACTGATCGATCTATCTACTGATTTTCTTTCTCTATGATGTAAATTAGTGCTGATATTTATACATACCCTTTTATTTTATTTTCATAAAAAAAAAAATAATTTATTATGGACAATAAATTATATATTTCTTAATTTATTTTCTTTTCAAATCTTAAGTTAGGAAGTGGATTTAACTTTTAAGTGGAATTTCGTATAAAGTTTTTATTCTGTTGAGATCTCACACTCGGGTATTATTCTGCTGGGGTCTTTTTACTTGTTGTAGTTTTTGTTGGTTTTAGGTAGTCGTGTAGTTGGTTAGTTTAGTTGCGAGTGTTTTTATTCTAGCGTTGCTAGTCGGGATTCTAGGCGGTCTTCTGACCTGTCCTCCCACTTTTTCAGCTGTTGGTGTTTTATTAAGCTAGGGCTGCTTGTATTCGCATATTTGGTGCATTTTGATTTATGACAATATTTATATAGTTTTTGAAAAAAAAAAAAAGATCAATAAAATTTACTTAGCAATAGAAAAATATTTTTTATTAGAGTAACAAAACATTGGTTTTTTTCCTACAAAACAAAATATGAACAAAGAAAAAGAGGAAGAGGTGAAGAGATAATAATTCTTCAAGTTGTAAATGGATTATCTAAAATCAATTTTAATTATTCAATTAAAAATAAATTTGATTCTGGCGTAATTTTTTTCTTTATTTTTCTTGTCTTTGTCAAACATATACATATGCATTTTGATATTAAGTTTTAATGCAATTTTCTTTTCAATGTGAATGATGCTACAAAAGATTAATTTAATATTTTTAATGATCAACAATATGCAGTAACGTACATGTGTTTGAGAATCACATAAAACTTGTATATGTTTTTTTATGTGTTTAAGGTTTTTTTTATATAATTATGCGATGTCAAGAAGAAGAACAAAAGATGATAGTGGTCTTGTTTGGCGATCAGCGGATAGTAGATAGCGGATAGCGAATTATATTAGCTGATTTGACCAGCGGATTGCATTAGCGGTTTTTTAAATAAGTGTTTGGTAAATAGCTGAAAGCTTATAGCTGTTTGAAATTGCAAAATAACCAATAATGATATTTTATTATTTAAGGTGTATTCTTTTAATAATAATATATTAAAACATTTGATATTATTTAGTTGGTAATTTATAAATATATATATTTTTTTAAAAAAATTTACTAACACTTGATGAAGAAGTTATGAATTTTACATTTTTTCTAGATAAATTAATCATATTGATGACATATTATTATTTATTAGCACCATAAACCAATGTAGATTGTAATAATACAAATTAAAAAAAAAAATCCAAATAAATAATTTTTGTGAATTCTCTATCCCAAAAAGCTGCTCTAATGAGCTTTTTCTAAATTAGAGTTTTGGGCCTAAAAAGCTTATCAAATAAGCTATTTACCAAACACGCTCAATAGCAGATTTAACGGGTAAAACCTCTCAATTAAGTCCAATCCACTAATTTATCTTTAATCCAGTATCTTCCAAACGGGGCCCGTATAAATTCTTCACATTCCATATAAATCATTCACAATCCCACCCCATGTGAGATTTGTAATGAGATTTGGCACATATATTTTCTCGTTAAAATCCTAGCAAGTAGCAAATCCAAATAAATACAAATCCAAAAAAAAAAAATTAAAAGTATATGAATACCTTGTGATTTTGTGAGACTTTAAATAATCTCAATTGAATAACTTTGGTTTTTTTAATCTATATATATATAATTAGTGGCTCATAAGCATTTAATAAAACCTATTAAATTATACCTACGTGGCACTTTCCCGCCAAAAACCGTTACTTTTCATTTTTATTTTTTTTTTATTATTTTATTATAAAAACATGTTTGATTTGTATTAATGTGTTGCTATGTTAATATTGGTCAAAACCTCATTTACTGTGTAGCCGTTACATTTCTCTTTTTTCCTTATTATCTTTAGTACCTTTGAATTTCGAAAATAATTTTTTTTATTATCAAAAAATTGATTCACTCACAATATTTTATCTATTTATTCTCACTAATTTATAATACTTTGTTTTTTAGTAACTAAAGTTGTTTTTTATTTTAATAAAATATTTCGACAATATAGTCCTAACTACATTTAGTAAAATTTACCAATTTAAAGTGGCAACTAGATATTCATACTTCTTTAGCAAGTAGCTTTTGTAAAATCCACGACAAGTAGGTGTATTCGTTTGGAATTTCGAGTGACATTTAAAGGCTATTCGAGATTTGAAATTTATAAATTAGAGGAATCTTGTGAAATTTTAAGTTTGGATGTGAGATTTGTAATGAGTTTTAGTATATGTTTATTTTTTATAAATTCTAACAAATCTTAGAAAGTTTTAACAAATCTTAATCTCAAATAATTAAATACATCGGGATGAATACCAAATGAATATCTCAAGACTTTTGTAAGTCTTGAGAACTCTAAATTAAATTATACCATAATTTCAAAGTCTTAAAAATTCTTCAAATTTTTTTAAAAATCTCAATTAAATATACACTTAAATTTAAAATAGCTATTTTGTAAAATCCACAATAATTAATTAAATTTAAATATTTCCCATATTATATACAACACAACAAGTAATTAACTTTAAATATTTTTATTGTATATACAAATCACAAA